ATGTATTAATCTCAGCTGCGTTCTTTCTGACTGCTTGCAGTGTGAAAGAGAAATATGAGACATTTGAAGCCAATACTGATTGTTCTGTCTGTACTTCAGCGGTACCGTGTTACCCCTCCGACTACCAATATTGTGTTGGATGTGTTTTGGGTGTCAAAGGTCCGCGAGATAGTATCTTTTGCTTTCTTTCTCCTTAATGAATATCCTTTATTAAATGTAATGACGATCCTTTGATGGTTTTCTCTTGTATACCCTTCTGTATTATCCTATTAGTCCTGCTTTTTCAATTGCCCCACACTTTAATGCTATGGAAGAGTTTCCCTCCCTCATCTCTTTCTCCTGGTTACTACGGTGTACAAGGTTTCCATATTCCTTTATTGTACTTGTAAATAAGTTGATTCACATGTACACTTTCAATTAATCTGAGATTCTTGTCTCTCTTTTTTTTTTAATTCCGTTGTGGTTTTAATGACATGTTTTTTTTTTCCCCCTCCTCCTTAGCGATCTTAGAGTGATTGAGGGGTGCAACCGGGGTTATTTCTGCAGAGAGGTATTTCTTGATATGAACACCAAAACAGACATGTGTAAAATTGTTTCTAAAGGAATTGAAATAAGGGTCTAAAATTGTGAGAAGGTTTTATTTGTTTTGCTTCTTTTTATTTTCTTTTCTTTCTTCTTTCTTTTTTTCTTTTCTTTTTTTACTTCTACCATACTTTGCATTTCTATTTTACGATACTGCATAAAGTGTGTACAGTAGGTAGAGGAGAGAGATTATTTTATTATTTCTCTCCTATTTTATTTATTTCTGAGTAAGAAAGTATATATATATATGACTGAGAATACAGATTACCCCACGTGGGCTGTAGCCGCACTAGCCATCTTTGGCCGCCATGCCACTCCTCTCATTATTCGTACCTTCACTTCTCCAAGAGAAGTACTCGAGCATCCAGAGGCCGCTACTTCTGCAAACCTCTACGTGGGTGAGGAGGATGTCGTGCGATTACACTTTCTTCTCTTCTCATCACTAGACCGATGTGATGATGTGGCGCAGGAGCATCAGCGACAGGAACAGCAGAAACAACAACAACAAAATAGTTCCAAAACTGCACAAGGAGGTCCGGGAAGTCATCGAACAGCCGTACGTGTCTCTGCTGGGGCGGATGTTCGTTTTCTTGGTAAACTTGTCCGTAATCATATGTTTACTTCATATGGATTTCAATCCGCCTCTGGGATTCGAACTATTTTGGCAATTGTGGGGGATGCCCCGTTGGATGCGGTGTTGCCGCTTTGCCGCTCCACCTATGAGGCCGCCTCTGCTGCTCTCTGCAATCCATTTCGAACCCCCCGCATGCATGCGAAGTTACTGCAGCGCTGGTATGAGGGAGTCCCACCGGAGTCTATTCTCCCCGCAGCCTATGCAGAGAATATACAGGCCGCCCCAACAGCAGATACCATGTCGGAAGAACCATCATTAGCGTACTCTCGTGGGTTTAGAGAACAGGTGAATACTATTATTGTACCATTTACAGCAACAGCTCGAAGTAGTATTGTATGATCCATTGAAATCTAATGGACATTATTATTATTATTATTATTATTATTATTATTATTATTATTATTATTATTGTTTATTGCTCAGTTGGAGGTTTATCTCTTTTTTGTTGGCATTCTATTTGTACTAATCATTTCTCTCCATCACACTACCCACCTATCCACATCTCTTTCCAAATGCTCTACAGTCATGAATTACTTTTCTTTCTTATCTGATGGATGTATGTTTATGTGTATAGATAATTTTCTTAATTAATTCTTATTGTGTTTTTATTTTTTTTAAAAAAATTGTTTCTTTTTCACTTTTTTCTTTTACTTTTACTTATATATATACATTCCTTTTTAAGGGTAGCATTATTTCAGGAACAAAGGCTAGGGAGGTGAGTGCGTCAACCCACCTTTATTCACCCAAGCAAAAGGAAAAAAAAAAAAACAAATAAAACAAAACAAAATAAAAACACAAACGAACAAAGAAAGGAAAGAGCGAAACGAGAGGAAATAAAGAAAGCAAGAAAAAAAAAAAGAGAGAGAGTGAGAGTAAAAAAAAAAAAGAAAGGAGGAAAAAGATAGTGCAAGAATAACATCTACACATACATACTTCACACACCCACATCCACACCTACACAGAGATATTATTATAAACAGAAGGAACAAGAAGGAAGTTAAATACCTCTGAAGAAGTACACACACAACCCCACACACACACACACACAACAAAACAACAAGAACAAGAAGAACAAACAACAGACGACCATTCGTATATATATATACTCTAATTTTTGTTTCATTTAGACACCACGAATAACGGGGACATTCCCTTGTGTTTTTTTTTTTTTTTTATTTCTATTTATTTATTTTCTTCTTCTACTTTCTTGAGGGCAACTCCTCTATTCATTTCGTACGTTTATAAATTATTAAACACCAATGCAGTACAGTGGAGTGGCTGATGTTGACCGCCTTGCAGAGCAAATGTACTCTAGCCCAGATCTGGTAACACGACAACAGGCGCAGGCATCCCTTGAACCCCTCATTAAAGAAGATGCGGATAGTTCTTTCCATATTACAATTCTTCAACAATCCAACAATCAATACACACTTTTGTTTATGGCCCAAGGCCTTGTACTTTGGTATAATGCCGCACGTAAATGGATGAGTATTGAACAAAAACGAGAATTTGTAGTTGTTCACTGTGGTGGTTGTCTTAAACGTATTTTTGACAGTGGAGCTCCAAAGCATGTAGTGACAAGTCTTCTTACAGCCTATGCAAAGTTAACAAAACTTTCTTTTGAAAATGAACCATTTTTAGAAGCGGCAGTGGATTTTCCTCTTGAATTATTACAACAAGAACAAGTGGAATCTTCTTATTGTTTGCTTAGTCTAATGCTTCTTAATACAATTGTGGTGGAGTTTTCTAAATTTGATTCTAGCAAGACACAAACTTACCTTACATTTGTAGCCCATCGTCATTGCAGTAGTAATTTTAAAGAGAAATCACTTCTTAATATTTTTATGATTGCAGTGAGACGTCTGGAACAAGTAACAGCAAATTCTCCGCATGTTGCGGAAATTGTAAAACTTGTGGAAAGTTGTTTATGTTTTGATTTTCGTGCTATTACCGTTGATGATACAGAAGATTTACCGTTTGCTCAGTTTCCACAATCATGGAAGAGTATATTATTAAATTTACAGTATTTAAACTTATTATGGGGTAAACATGCAGAATTACCTTATCCACTCTGTGCTAGTTTACTTACAGGTATGATGAGTATCTGTGGTGTACATCGTACCTTTTTTGACACCCCAGAAGAACGATCACAATATCTAAAGTATACTTTAACTGTATTAACCGAAACAACTATGTTGCAAGATGGTCGTCTTAAAATTCCAAAATATGTTGAATTGTTTACTGAAACATGTAGACGAGTTTTATTATCTTTTGGATACCGTGATTTATATCAATTACCTGTATTTGGGGTATGGATAAATGCTATGCGTATGGTTTCTATGGAAGTCGTTTCTATTCCATTTGGTCAGGAAGGTTCACTCTCTACATCTACTACTGTTATGTCTTATTGGGTAGCTTTATCTAATTCAAAGAGACGTTCTTATAGTGATCAAAATCAACGGGATATTGAAGATATAGCTTTACAAGTATTACAAGCATTTATAGAAGCTCGTGTTCGTACACCAGAAGGAGGAGGAGGAGGAGGAGGAGGAGATGGAGGTCCAGTTTCATTAAATGATGATGATGGAGATCATCTTATTGAAGCTGTGATTTCTCAATCTGAATCCTATACTGCTGTTTGTCTTTTGGATCCCGTGATGTCTTTAAATGCTCTTGCGAATTATTTAGATCAACAAGTTGGTACTTTTATTTTATCTTCTCCCTCTTCACGGGGATGGTTATTCTTTTTAGCAGGTGCAATCTTACGTATTGTACCTTTTAATATGGAGAATTCCGGTGTAGAACCCTGTGCACGTCTTTGTGTATATTTAGCAGGATGTACTGCACATAGTCCTCGTGGTGGGGATGCAAAGATTTGTGGTAGTTTTGTAGAGCGTGGGTTATTGTATTTTCTCACCTCTACACAGTTAATGCTTCTTGGTGTTCATAATGATAATATTTCAGCAGTAGTGGTGAAAGGGTTTGGATCTCATGCAGGATTATTTCAGTTTATATTAGATAATGCGGGTTGCAATTTACTTCGTGGAGATGATGATCCAGATGCGGCGGAGATTATTAGAGAAAGTGCGGATTTAATTACAAATTGTTGTCGTGATGTTCAACCATCTTTTTTAAAAGATTTAACATTTGATCTTCCTCCTATTTCAGAACTTCCACTAGCACAATCGGAACGTACATATAAATTACGTACCAATTTAATGAGAGCCTTATGGTTTATAGGTAGATCAGAACCAAATACACGAGAACGAATGGAAGCCTATCTTTATAATGTTGAAGTTTGTATGCGACATACAGTAAATAATGAAATGACAAGTACAAGTTTTATTGCTGGATGGTTACGAGATTTACGTGGAGCTTGTCAAGCCTTAAATGAAGATGAAAATATATTTGCAGATTTTATTGATTGGTTTTGTGCACGTTTTGATGTATTTAATTTAGTTTTAGATATAGCCTCCAATTCATCTGTAGTGGTAATTGCACTTATGCGTTTCTTATGTGAACTTGTAACTCCTGGTAGATATGGAAGATTACATGTTTCCTCAAGTAGTAATAGTGCAATGGGTTTAATGTTATTTAAACACCTTTGTGGTCTTATCGCGAAGGTTGGGGGAAAATGTTTTGCATCTGAACATATTATGGCTCTTGAAGGGTCATCATCTGATTATCAAAATACACTTAAACCTTGGATGCTTTCTATGGAAATATTAAAATTATGTGTACAGGGATCTTTTGTACCTTTTGGTGCCATGTTATATTACAATGATGAGACCTTTGAATATACAACAGCAGAACTTTTGTGTAAACTTACATTATTAGGACCTAATTTATTTAAGGAACATGCAAAGTTTGCCACTACCGCACTTGATTTATTAAGATCTTTAACAGAAGAGAATTTGTATTATCCATTACGCCAATTAAAAAGCAATGAACTTTTAACATTGATTAATATTGTGATACTTATTTGTGAAGATGTAGATGCCCCATCTGGGGTTTTACTCTTTGGATTAAGTTTTCTCGCCTTTATTGCTGGACTCGTACGGGAAGTAAAGGCGATGTTTCTTACTCCATCTCAACAACCCTCCTTATCAGGCACCGCAGCCGCATTAGGGAATAGTGGTAGTAACGCCAATACACCACCACCGCCCATATCGCCAATGCTCCACGGCTTTGTGCCGCCATTGCAATTACAAACATCCGCCACTCGAAGTGGAACACAAAGTCGACCTCCACGATTTGCACGTGAGGTGCGGGAACAATTAGCCGCCCTGCTGGTTCCTTATGAAGATTTATGGCAGCGGCTTATTACAGTAGCGATGAATATTATTGCATTTCGTGATCGGGCGGTTAGTGCGAGTAGTGCGGTGGTGTTTCCCATCTTTGAAGCTCATCCACCCTTTTGGTTTGGCTTTATGGATCAATTTGTGGCTTCCTTTCCAGAGCGTAAGCAGTCGGCGGTGCGGGAGGCTTTGTCGGTACTCACACATGCGGGGGAAACGCAGGAGAAGTTCTTCTCAGAGGTATTTACCTTTAGGCAGGCACTACGACGCCTTAACGTTTAATATCTATCTATCTATATCTATATATATATATATATATATATATATAGATATAGATAGATAGATATATATATATAGTTAGTTAGATAGATAGATAGGTAAGAGTATGTGTATGGAGTTGGGTTATGTCTGTCTGATTAGGTGGGTGGGGGTGTAGTGAAATGGAGCAATGTGATGTTGGCAGTGATTGTTACAATGGATAAGAAGGAACAGTCTTCTCTTTTCTTTTTCTTTGTTTGTTTGTGTCTTTGTTTTTTTTTATTTTATTTTTCTCTTCCTCTCTCTGTATGTATTTCTTTTTTTCTTTTGAGAGAGAGAGAGAGAGAGAGAGGGGGGGGAGTGTTTGTAGGATGGTTCTCTCTCTTTCTTTCTCTTCTCTCCTACAGTTTGTGCAATATGATATATATTTTTTAACCTATAAGAAAAAAGAACAACTTTTCTTCTCTTTCTATATATATATATATAGGCATTCTGTGGGGGGTATCCTATACTCCTCCTGCTTGTGTATACACAATGTGTATTTGCAATGAAATGGAGAGAAGAGAAGAAAAAAAAAAAAAAACATAAGGGAACACAACAGAAGAGGACAGAAACAATAAAGAAAATCCAATTGTGTGTAAACGCGAGAGGTTGTTATTATGATAGTAGTATGTGGGAACCATACAAAGAGAAAATATAAATAACAGTACAAATTGTATAAACTCTAACAGAGGAAGAAAACAACAACAACAACAAAGAATGAAGAAAAAAGAAAAGATGGAAAGAAGAAACGTCTTCAATGAGGGAATATCAGTTTCTTTAAAGAAAGAATTATAATGATAAAAATAAAGAGAGCAAAGATGAGAAAATGCAGACGAGAAAAGGGGGTAATGGTACCAGAAAGAAAAAAGAAAGAGAGAAAAAGAGAGAAAAAGATAAAATAAAGAGAAAACAACAAGAAAAGAAAATAAAAAAAGAGAGAGAAAATAAACAAAATGAAAGAAAGATATTGTTTATTATTACTATTATAATGATAATAACATCAGCAGCGGTAAAAAGAAAAAAAGAGGGGAAGGGGAACGAGAATAAATTATTTCATATTGCGTTCTTTTTTTTTCTGCGTCTTCAATGATAAACATCAATACGGGTGGAGAGGGGAGGGATGCAATTGAGAGAGAGAGAGAGAAAAGAAATATTATTAGCGAGACGAGGGCCAAAACAGAGAAAGAAAGCAAGAAGAAAAAAAAAAAAAGAGATTAAAAAAGTTGCTTTTGGTAGTTCTGAAAGGGAACTCAATTTCTTTTCTCTTTTTTTTTTCTATTTTTGGGATTCTTACACAGCCGGGGGGTTGGGGGCTGGTGATGTGTAAGTGACACTACTTCTTTTCACATCTATTTGTTCCTTTCTGTGCTGCCTTGTTAACAGTGTGAATCTTTGTGTAGGGATTGTTTGAACCCTTTTTTTTTATTATTTATTTTGTCCTTTTTTTTTCTTTTGATTTTTTTTTTTTTTTCTTTTTGCTTTCCCTTCTTTTTTGATTTGTTTAACTTAACCTCTGTATCTGTATATATATATATATATGTAGTCTCTTTTTTCTCTTTGTGTATGTGTGTTTAGTTTTCCCTTCTTGGAGAAAGGGAATAGCAGTGAGTGTGCTTCTCGGAATTAATGGCTTTCCTCTCCCTTTTCCTTCAAGGTGTATTTTCCCTCTTCCATTTGTTCTGTTTCCTCTTATTCGTATTTGCAGGCGGCTTTCTATCTATCCTTTGTACCCATGAGAGAACAGGAATAATAATAACAACAACAAATAATGGCAGCAGCAGTAGCCGTGGGAGATGACGGTGTTGTGAATGGAGAGAGAGAGAGAGAGACTATGAGGAATCCACATTGGCGATTATGAGCCACAATACCTAGTGCCTATTATTATGATTATGATGATGATGATGGTGATGATTATTATTATTGTGGTGCTAGTGGTATGTTTTCATTATTTACATGTGCACAAGAGGATTTGGTAAGAGGAAAATCAACGAAAAACAAACGAAAAAAAGGGGGACTCACTAAGAAGCGCTGGAAGGGGGAAAAAATAAAGAGACAAAAAGAAAAAAGGAGTGGGGTTACAGTGAGAAGGAGTAAAAAAAAGAAAGGAAAATAAAAGAATAAAAGCAAAAGAAAAAAAAAACAATAAATGAAGGGTTATCAATAATAGCAATATAATGGAGGTATTATATGCTTTTGACAATTTCTTTCACTTTTCAAATGTTTATAATTTCTTTTCTTTCTGTACTTCTTTGTGTTTTTTTCCCTCTTTCTTTTCTCTGTGTGTGTGGATAGCGTTTATTTTCACATTTACCTTTCCTTCTCTCTCTATCTCTCTTGTTGTTATCTGTTTATTATCATTTTTATGGTTCTTTGTTTTCTGTTTATACCTTTATCAATGTGTCTATCGTCTTTGTATTCTCAATTCTCACACATACGCATTCAAACATTCACAGTCACGTTGTATTTTTACCAGAATGTCTGCAGCCCTCCCCTTCTTGATTTCTGCAGACACACTTCATTACAACATTACCAATACGAATCAATAAAGATATACCCAATGCGCAATATCAATCACTCTCACTCTCACTGTATATATTTATATGTATCTTAATGCTTCTTCTCTTTTCTCTTTTTCTCTTCTCTTTTTTTCTTTTCTTCACTAACCAAATAAATAAATCACACCATAAGTCTTCACTTGCCTTTGCAGACCACCTATATTCTCTTACATTGTGTCTGTCTGTGTGTGTGGTGTGATTTCCGTCCCTCTACACACTTCCACAGACTCATTATACTATATCCCACTATAATACTTTCACTCCGAATAAATAAATAAATAAAAGATGGGAGAGGACTTCACATCGTATGAGGCGACGTACCACACCTTGTTGGACCCCGCCGCCCCCCTCGACAGCCGCTTCCGCGAGTTGTACCGCGTCAAGTCGGATCTCCTCCACACCCCCGCCGGTGCGCATCTCATCGCCGCCGCCGTCGACACCACCGACTCGGTGCTGCTGCAGCACGAGCTCGTCTACAATCTCGGCCAGAGCGGAGTGCCCGCTGCTGTTCCTCCACTCGTGCGGATCCTGCGGGAAAAAGAAAAGTACAATCTCGTCACCCGACACGAGGCCGCGGAGGCCCTCGGCGCCCTCGGCGAAGTCCCCGCGGAGGCGCTGGAGGCCCTCGCCCAGCACGCCAGCCCCGAGACGGAGCCCTCCGCGGGGGTGCGGGAGTCCTGCGAGTTGGCCCTCCGCCGCCTGCAGCTGCCGAAGCACAGACGCGTCCCGCCGCCGGGGTGTCCGTTCGTCTCCCTCGACCCCGCCCCCGCCTTCGCCGCCGACGGGAAAGAGGAGGAGGAGGAAGAGGGAGAGGAAGGCGAGGTTCCACGCGAGGGGGATGTCCCCGCACTGCAGCGGATCCTCTGCGATGACAGCGGGGCCACATCCCTCTGGCGTCGCTACAAGGCCATGTTCACTCTCCGCAATATCGGCACGAAGGAAGCCGTCGAGGCCCTTTCCGTCGCCCTCCGCAGTGACACCGCCAGTGCCCTCTTCCGACATGAAGTGGCATTCGTTCTCGGCCAATTGGAGCACCGCGCCTCCATAGATGCCCTCTGCGCCGCTTTAAAGGACGAAGAAGAGGCACCAATGGTCAGACATGAGGCCGCAGAGGCGTTGGGCGCCATGGCAGATCCCGCACTGCTCCCAATATTGGAATCGTACGCCAAACATGAGGAACCACTCGTGCGGGATAGTTGCGTGGTGGCATTGGAGATGCATCGCTACTGGTCCAACTTTACAAAGAAACCACAACAGGAGGAATCCAATACTAATACTACTACTACGAATGCGGGTACAACGATCACGGTCAGTCCTTAAATGCATACCATGTGTGTTTCACAGGAATGTGAAACGTTGAAAGAGAAGCCCAAGGTAAATGAAGAAGAAGGAATGATTTATTCAGTGAGTGAGTGAGTGAGGGAGTGGGGAAGGTTATATATATATATATATATATATATAGGAAGAGATATTTGCATCTTCGCAACACCTTCAATTGAACGTACAAGGCCAAAATGGGAACAGTCATAACGAATGGAGGAGAAAAAGGAGAAAAAAAAAGAAAAAAAAAAGCCATCAAAAGAAACATAATAAGACTGGGCTTTTCACCTATGGAAGTTAAAGCTAAAGAGTGCATGAGTATGAAGAGAGAAGAAAAAAAAAAAAAAAAAACATAATAACGTAAAGCAGTAGATAAAACAATGATACGAGAGACAACAATAATAATAACGATGTCAACAAGAAAAAAAAAAAAGTGAAGACACCCGAATATAATACTTGTCAAGAATAAGAATGAGAAAAAAAAAAGAAAAAAAAAATGCTCTTGAGTGTATTAACAAAGGTAACTACTGAAAAATAAGCAACCAAAAAAAAAAAAAAATAATTAATAAAGCGTATATCACTTGACTGTGTGTGTGTGTTTTTTTTTTCTTTTTCTTTCTCTTTGTTCTCCAGAGAGTAATATTTTGGTGTACAGAACCGCTTCCTCACTGCGCAAGGCTATTTGTAAAAAGAGCGATAAAAAAAAAAGAGAATGAATGGAAGAGAATTCTTCCGTTCATTTTATTTCGTATTATTGGGTGATGATGATGATCACTCCCCTTTGAAAGTATAGTTTACATACATACATGTTTATTTCTGATTAATCTTTCCTTCTTCCTCTTTTTCTTTTCTTTTCTTTCTTTTTTTTTCTTATTTGTGTAGTTTTGTTCTTGTTGTCCTTCCTCTCTTAGGAGACACTGATTAGGGAAGAAAAGGCTCCTAAAACAAGTCAGACAGAAAAGAAGCAAAAAAAAAAAAAGAAACTCAAGTAGTCCTCTTTAAAGGAAAAAAAAAAAATAATAATAATAACAACAGTTGTGAAGCGGAAGGGGGAAAGGAAAAAAAAAAAAAAACAAAAACGAGTAATTCTCTCTATCTAATTTTCCTATCTTTTTTTCTCTAGTATATATATATATATATATTCATACAAAAATGGGGAACTCTACTGCGTATGATATTTACATCGCTCCTTTTCTTCGGGACTTCCATGTGTTTTTCCCCATCTTTCTTTCCTGGTTTGTGGTCCAATGGGCGGCTTCTCATCTCTTGGGATTTCTCTTCGGCCCGCCTTTTAAAAGACTCCCAAAAGAAAAACGTGAAGATGTCATTGTGCGATCTGTGAGTGTATGTAATGGTCTTCTCATGACGGGAGCTGCTGTTTGTTTCCTTCATGATCTTCGGCAAAATAATTTTGTCTTTCACAATGATCAATATAGAGAAGTGCCGGGATATAGATTCTTTCGTATTGCCATTGTATCTTACTTTGCCTGGGATATTGTAGTCTGTCATGTGTATAAATGGTCCTTTATATGGAAAGTTCACGCAGTGGCTAGTTTTACCGGCGCCTATTTACTTTCTTTTCCCTTTTCCGATCACTATGGATCCTACTTTACAGGAATGTTTGAATTAAGTAATAGTCCACTGCATCTTTCTTCTATTCTCCGTACACTTGAAATCTCATCTCTTTTACCTTTTGCCACCGCGATGGAAGGTCTCTTTGCAATTCTCTTTGTTTGTGTTCGAGTGGTGGGGGGAAGTATAGTGACGGCCTCTTGGTTAAAGCATACATATATGAATTTGGTGGCGAATTACTACGCGGGTGGGACGTTAGTGCATGGGGAGGTGCCTTTATTGATATCCATTGTGCTTATAGTGATTATTCAGACTCTGCAGTATATTTGGTTTGTGGAGATTGTAAAGCGGGTGATGGCGATGTTTGGGATTTCTTTTTCTTCTTCTTCTGCTAGTTCTAGTTGTTCTTCAATAGAGGGAGATGCGGTGAAGAAGTGTGTAAAGGCAAAACAGGTGTGAAGTTTATTATCATGATAGTTTTTTTTTTTTTTTTTTTTCTACATTTCAGCTGAAGTAAGAGAGAGAGAGAGAGAATAGGTCTAAAGGATATGTGAATATGAGAAGAAAGAAAGAGAAAGAAAAAAAAAGGAGAATAAAAGAAAGAAATACATAATAGAAAAATAATAATAATAATAATATGGTATATTACGTATAAAAAGATAAACAACCATTTTTATTTATATAATTTTGTATGAACTCATATAATTATTTATATGTATATACATACAAAAAGGAAAAAAA